GCGCGCCCCGTGACGGACAGCGCGCCGCCGGCCGCGCGGCCCCCCTTCCGGCCGTTCCGATTGGCTGCTTTTTAATTTAGGCAAAGTGGCGTCGGAGATGGAAGTTGCCCCCCCCTTCCCTCCATCCCTCCATCCCTCCTCCCGCTCCCCTTCCTCCTTCCTCCTCCCTTCATCCCTCCCTCCCTTCTCCCTCCGCCTCTTAACTCTTCCTGCCCGGCGGACACACGCACCGCGGAGCTCTCCCGCCATCGCCGCTCGGGCAGGGGAGAGCGCTGGCGGTAATAATTAATAACAGCAGTAATAACGACAATAATARCGACGCCAGAACCGGGTGGGATTCGGAAAGGCTTTTGTGCGGAGATGCCACCGCCGTGCACACGCACCAACCTCCCTCCCGCCGGCAGTGCCCGTACCGGCACTCGGAGCTGSCCCCCCGGCGCTCGGCCCCGGAGGCCCCCGCCCCCCGCCCGCTCCCTCCTCCCTTTGTCCGCCCCCGCACCCCGGGGTGCGCCCCGGACCCCGGCAGCCCGCCCGCAGCCGTCACGCCGGGAGGCTGGCCCGGCAGCGCCGGCGAAGGGCCGCCCCGTCGGCGGGGGAGGCGGCAAGGGGAGCCGGCGGCCGGGCTTGCCCTGCGCGCCGCGGTCTAACTCGCAGGGAGCCAGCCCCGCGGCATGAAACGCTGTATTATTTCTCGTCCAGCGGAAAGAGTTAAGGGGGGCGGGGGAAGGCGGGGGGCGCGGGGGAGAGATGCGACCGAGCGGAAACACTGCGCGCAGGCAACCTCAGTGAACCACGGAGAAAGAGAAAGTGGCAACAAAAACAAGGGCAAATTGAACGCTCCTCGGGGACTGCCGGTGCAATAACACCGCTCGGACACGGAGGGGACACGGCGCTGCCAGTGACCGCCGCGCCGCGCAGCGCCGTCCCACGCGCGCTCCCCCGGTGGCGGGGGCCGCGCGAAGAAAACACGCGCGGTGCTGGCATGGGAATGGGGAGCTTCGCCCCCCGCCTGGCCCTGCCCGCCCCGCTCCCCTCCTCCGCACGCCGAATAACCCGGCCCCGGGAGGGGTGAGCTGCGTCCCGCTGGCAGCGCTCTCCGTGCCGTCCCGCTCCCGCCGCGCTCGGCAGCCGGTGCTCGGGGCTCCCTCCAGCCCCCGGCTGGCACRGCACGAAATACCATGGCAGGTCGGGTTAGAAAAACCATTCAAGTGAAGCATACGGATCTGAAGGGCGCTGGTAACTAAGCACCAAACATTATCATTTTATATATGTGTGTATATATATATATATATATGTAGGTATATATATTTGTTCCCATGCGTTCTCCAAAGGTTTCTTTTTTTTTATGTATAACAGATCCAACACAGATTTCATTGAATAAATCTGAGATCTCCAGGTGCAGACGTTTGAATAGTCAGTGCCAGAACCCCATGTTTTCCTTTCCAGCCGATTTTGCTTGGATCAGGCTCAAAAACCGAGTGAGTCTCGTGGTTTTGTTTACACTGAATGGGGAGGATAGGAACGGTGCCATGGGGCCGTCTTTCATTAATATACAGTGAGGATTTTGTCTAAATTACTGCTATGAATTTCACAGTACACGCTTTCAAAAGCCGTCTCAGGTGGCCTGATGAAACGTGATAGCGCCTCTGCAAACAGATCTACTTTCTTAATAAAAAAGGAAGGTGTGGGGGGTGGAGAAATCCCCCCAAAAAAAAAAAAAAAAAAAAACCAAGACCGTACATCCTCATAACAGCGATAACAAAAAATAAAGCTCAAGCTGGAGTAAGGTCTTTTATTTAAAAAATATCCCAACAAAAAACAAACAACCAACTTCGTTCCCCAACTCTTCCCACCCCCTCCCTTGCAGAGTGAGATTGTTTTGTCTGGAAAAAAATCCAAAGTATAACAAGGGGAGAACAGTTAGTGCTGATTTTCATTTGCATAAATTTTCATATATTTTGGTGAAAATAATAGACTAGTGGAGAGCGGGGCTTAGTGGAGTCAGTGCAAAGGAAAATCTTAACATGGATCGTTTCGCTGGAGTTGAGAACATGCTTTTTTCCCCCTGTCACCTTATTAAAATCAAAAATTAAAAAAAWTTCTCTAAATCCTGGAAGTATGATCGGTAAGTGTTTTATATTTTTTTATCTACTTTTGTTTTCTTTAAAGTCTTCTGGATATGTATTTTCAAAAGCTTAGGACAAGACAGGGAAACCCATGGTAACTGCCTTGAAGGAAACAGGCTGGAAAAAGAAGGGAAAGGGAAAGGGGGAAAAAATCCCACCAGCAACGAAAAGCACCTTAGTGAAATATTACATAAAAAGCATGGATTCATTCCAAAGCTCAAGGCAGCAAAGCAATTCTTCAGCGCTGGAAAGTCTTTCTGGTTACTACTTCACTTTTCTGGGCACTGTTAATTATTGTAACACCAAGACTCGGGGAGGCTGGGCCGGGGGTGGAGGGGAGAGAGGAAAGCTCTCGAAAATATTACAGATTTGTAAAGGGGAGGCGAGACAGAGATGGGGGCTGTTTTCAAACGCTGCTTCACGGGGGGGGCGTGGGGGTGGGGGGGTCGCTCGGCGGGTGGGGAGGGGGCCCGGCCGGTGCAGCGGCGGGAGAGGGGCCGGGGCCGAGCCGGGGCGCGGGTGACCCGAGCACCTGCCGGCGCAGGGACGGGCGCGGGGGGAGCCAGGGGAAGGTGCGGAGCGGCCGTGCACGCAGAGGGTTAATATTGTAACTAGGGAACAGACGGTTAAGCACAACATCTAGAGCTCTGTAGTGAAAGTCCATCAGAAAGAGTATAATCAATCAAAACTAACCAGGACATCCCTTCATTTTATTCTCCAAGGAGATTGGGGCTGGAGGATTACAGACCAGATTTCACTTTGTTTCTCTCTCCTGACAGTCTTGCTTGTCTCTCCGCTTTCCCCGAATCCTGTCCAATTGAGAGGTGTAGTCTAATGATCTGAAACTCTTCTATTGCGTTTGGGTCAGTGTGATAAATAATGTGATAAATAATGTAGGATTAAATTAACAGCTCCTGAAAACTTTATTGAAGCTTAAATGTCCCATTATGTGACTTTAATTTATTTTAATTTTAACGTATTATTTGCATATTTTCTTTTTCTTGCCACCTCTGTTGCTGCTCTTTTGGACACACAATAGCTCGTGATCATTGTAATTTCCTAGAATTAGTTACTTCTTTGGAAACGGTCGATAGCCAAATCAATAAAATGGCTTGTAAAACTAGGGAGGTATAGGTTTCAATTTGGGGGGGAGAAGAATCGCTCATTTTCCACTTCTTGTTGACGTGCCCAGCGTCTCTTTTGACTGGGGTTAACTCTGTGTGCTCCATCGGAACAGATGCCGTATAGAGCTGCTCCCTCAAGATCATTTGTTTCCTTGATGGGGGAACATTTCTGAGCAGAACATATTGGTTGCCATAGAGAAAGAAATAAAAGGAAGAACACTAGTCACATTAAGCTATATGTTTGTGCACTGGGCTTTAGATAAAAGGACCCCAGTTCAAGCCAGAGAGAACGGGGCCAAACCAGAGCTTCTTAGCTTCRCTAAAACTAGCTTTATTTTGTTTTGGACTTTTACGGTTGAAACATGTAAGCTAGTTTTATTGGCTGTCTTTAATTTTATACGATACGGCTTGCCGAACAAAATCAACTTTGGGCGCGCTCCGCCTGGCGCCGGCCGGCCACCAGGGGGCGCCCCGCCACACACCCTCCCCGCATGCCCGGCTCAGGGCTGAGGGCTGAGGGCTGAGGGCGCTGCCCGGCCCGGCCCCGCCACCGCCGCACCCCTCACACCCGGGACACCCCGCACCGGGACACCCCGCACCGGGACACCCCGCACCGGGACACCCCGCACCGGGACACCCCGCACCGGGACAGCGCCTCCGAACCCCCGGGGCCGGCGGGCAAGGGGACAGCGCCGGGGGCTGCCGGTTCAGGGGCCGTCCCGAAAGTGTCCCAGGCGGTGCGGTGCCTCCAACGGACCCGAGGCCTGCGCGGTAGTGAGAGCGGTAATTAAACACAGGCACGGGCACCGCAGCTCGGGGCAACCTGGGGTGCCACGCGGGGTTTTTTTTTTGTCTGTCCAAATAAGGCGCTTACGCCTCTGGAGATGCAATAAAGCGACTCGTTTTGGTTTTTATCCATAATTTAATATTTAATCGCGGTATTAAACCTGGAAAAGTGGCTAGCTCTCTTTTCTTTTGCTTTTTTTTTTTTTTTTCTTTTCCCTTTCAATTTCCCCTCCTCCCCCCCTCAAAGTGGCCACTCCTCCCCGCTATCCCTTCGTGAGTTATCTGCGGGAATCAGCGACAGAGGTAACGCCGGACTCCCCCCGCCTCCCGCCCTGCCCACACCGGCCGCGCACCGGCCACAACTTTTCGCCGTCCGGGACACTCGCAGATTAACTTCAGCTAAMAACAACACCTACAGCGACCACAGCTCGGGTCTCTGTCCCTCCCCGAGCACACCTACTCTCAGCCGCTTGCTCTTTTTCTCCGCTTTCCTCCTTAAGGAATTGAAAGAGGGGACAGAAGTGAGAAATTTAGTTGGGGATTTTTAGGGTTTTTTTGAGGTTTTTTTTTTTAGGGGGCGGGGGGAGGGTTTAGGGCTTTTTTTGGATGSTATTCCTGCCCAAACACGGCTACTTCTGAGCCCTGCGTTCCCGTCCGCTGTCAGGATATTGGACACGGACGGACCCGCGTGGTTGCAGCATCCTGAAACGCACCTGCCGCCCCCGGGACTGGTGGGGAGCGCTGGCCACGGGGGCGGGAGGCTTGAAGCCACTTTTCTCCCCCGTGGTGGAGCCCCAGCAGTTTCCGTGAGWCTAGGAAAGTTTTATTTCTTGCCTCCATAAAGGAAAGACCAATTGGAACCCTGGAAATCACACAGCCCATAAATATGATAGAACCTGGCAAGAGGAACTCCCCGCCTAAAATCCTAACACATACATAGAAAAAAAAAGAAAACAGAGAGAGAGAGACAGAGAGAGAGAGAGAGAGAGAGAGAGAGAAAGAAAAGTTATCAAAGACAGAAAACGACCTACAAGAAATTACACTTTTCATTTGAAGTGTTCATGGATCTTCATTTGGAAAACGGAGTAAAGTCTCCGTGTGTATTGACCGTGAGGTAAAATGGTTGAGACATTTACATGAACAAAACTTTCCACCTACCACGTTTGGCGCAATAAGTAGTAGCAATATTCCAGACTAGTAAAACACATTTCCAGAGCGCATTTCACCTCAGAAACGTGGTAGCTTGCTTAAAATTTGCAGTAGTTTAGTATTTCCCTCGCCTCTGAGGCGGGAGGGTTTTGGAGTTGAAAGACCCCAGCAAAGTTCATCATGCCGGGGTCGGGATTGAGCGGATTTCCCCCAGCTTTCCTCTGCCCCCCTCCCCCAATCCTCCAAGCGTAACCTGTGTTATATTTTAAACAAAACAGGAATTAGAAGCGCGGGTCCTCTGCTGTATGCCTGCACCAGTTAGCAGCAGCAGGCTGCGAGGTACCACAAGCGAAGAGAAAAACTAACGCTAAAACGAGCAACAAGTTAATTCGGCAAAACTTAAACTTTTCTGGCTGCCTTTGAAAGAGTCCGGTCCGGCCGGACCATGCCGGCTCCATGCCTGCAGTGGCACCCCAATTGTAAGAATGCTAGAGAAAGCGTTTTTTCCTCTCCCTTCTTAAAATAAATGCCTATTTTGTCCGAATGGATGCCTTTAGAAAATGGATGTAGAAGAACTACTGTCGTGGAAATAGTGAAAAGAAAGTGTTTACCGTATTTAGTATTCATTTACTTATAGTGGGAAATGATTAGGTATGTACTAATATAACCGTGGAGACCAACTGCCTAATTAGCATTTACAAATTAAAATGTTAAACATAAAGACATATTCCGTATACAGTCTGCTATATGTAAAACACATTCGTGCATAATACAGCAGTCAGCTGCAAACGTGAAGTTGACTGGCTTCCAGATATGTAGYGTTCTTGGCTAATGCGATCTGCTCTGGGTTTTTCAAGCTTACCCATGCTGCAGTTCATAGTTCTTATGACCACGTTGATAGCTGCACTAGGGATATTACACTAACCAATCTGGAGAAAATAGGAAAATACACAGATTACTTTTAAAGGCCGACAATAACAACGATAAACACAATAGGCAGGCGGATCATTTATCCATACCTTTTATTCTGAAGGCTTCACTCGGAACCTTATTTATTATTTTCAGCATAACAAAGCATTTCAGATTCTGTAATAAATTAGAACAATAATACAGAACTGCACATGCAAAGCAAGATTCCTTTATTTCCCAGCTGCATAATTTTGATATTACCCAACGTGTCTTGCTTAGGGTTCACCTCACACGGACTGTAMTGAGAGTTGCCAAATGAATGGAACAATCTATCTGTTGACTTGAGCTCAACGTAGACACATTACATATGATGGAAACCTAATGCTYCCACCGATGTTAAAATCAGAGGGATACATAGTTTCAATCCAGACCCTTGAACATGTAGATTTTTATTAATAAGAATAATTGTGCATGTAGCGACATAAAAAGGGGATTTACAAGTTGGAGTCTTTTAAAAGAGACTGTGAAAACCTTAGCCCTCCTTTTATTAGACATGATATCATTCCGATTTGCGTGCTTGCCATCTCAATGGCGTTTCACATGTGATTAAAAAAAAAAAATCCATATGCATTACATAGATTTTCTTCTACACGCATAAGGACTTGCAGTCTTTTAGCGGATAAGAGGGTGAATAATTGTGATACACCAGAAAACAGTTTCGTGCAGTTTGGCAGCTCTGGTTATTATTATTAGATTTTTTGACATTTGAACTTGTCTATTGTCTGAGGAGCTCAGTGCAGATTGCAGTAGGTCAACCTTAAGGCTGCTCTTTTTGGCATTGCACACAAACATGCACACGCTGTCTGTTCTCCTTGTGTGAATGCAGCAGCTAGTTTTATCGTGCCTTTTTTTTTTTAAATGCACATCTATTTATATTTATCTAATCCGCTTGGGGTTTTCACGGTCGTGTGATTAGTTTGTACGTGCCTTCATTTTGCACCCATTCTTCCTATCTAGATATTCTCCTGATGTTGAATACTTTTAAGTACTCGGTCGCCTTTACAGCAGTATAGTTTCAGCATYACGACGTTTGATAAAAGGGACTTCAGTAGCCCTGGGATTAAATGACATATTTCCCCGCAGCTTTGCTCAACTCCATCATGACTCCTACAGTCAAAAGTTAACCTTATTCATCATCTCCTTGCGTTTATTCTCTCCTCCCCTCTCTAAATTCAGCCCAGCCACCCGACTTCTGAAACAATTTCTTGCTGCCTGCCAAGAGTTAGGGGTGTAGCAGTTTGGGGGGCGGAGGCTGGATCCCGAAAGCTCGCCGCCACCTCGCGTCCCCGGGGGCGGCCCCCGCTCCGCTGGCCTTTCCGCTGGCGCGGAACGGGCCGCGGCCACGCCGATGTCCCGGCAAACGCCCTCCCGGGCGGGGCGGCGAAGCAGAGGGAGCCGCTTCTGAATAGGAAAATGAGAAATAGGGATGGATACCCCCGGGGTGGGAGGGGGAAGGGGAGCAGAAAAACTGGATCAAACCCGGAGGAGAGTCAGTTTGCACTGGGAAAATCTAGATACTGCGTCTAACTAACTTCTCCCTGGAGTGATTTGTGCGTCTTGTTCTTTCTTCTCTGGTTGGGTTGGTGGTGTTTTAAATTGAGGCTCTTCCCTCATCTGCCTGGGTGAAGGCGCTCGGGCCGAACAACAGCCCATCTCTTCTTATAGCAGACTGTCATTTAAATATATATCTATATGCATACATAAGTGTGCACATATATAGGTATACATACATCCAGGCTTCGACGTTTGGATTTGTTCCCCTCTTCACTTTCCTCTTCCTCCTTTAACAAGCGCCTGGTAATGCATTTAAGGCTTGTTATTTGAACTCTCAGATCAGCATGCAGAAATGTAATTGCAACATTTTTCATCAGGAAAGAAAAGAAAGAGAAAAGGGGGAGGAAATCCGCCCCCCCCCCCCCCCCCCCCC